AGTTAAATAGTTATTTATATTATTATATTTTTAATTTTTAATTGTTTATTAAAATAGTCGATAATCTTTGGGAAACATAGCGTTAGTGTTGCGAATGTATTGCTTTTCAATATGAGTCCAATTCAAAGAGTTAAACATCTATTTAAACAGTATAAATAATATTGTAATTACAATAATTATAACAATTACAGTATACCTTAATCATTTTATCCCACACATCACGACTGGGCAATAGATCAAATTGTTTGCAATACACTTTCAACGCCAGGCCGTAATGCCGGTGCAAAAGGGCGTAACTTTCAGTGAATTTATATACTTTTGTGTCGTACGGATCGGCAGATAGTTTACACATCTCTTCGTACACTTGATCCGCATCCGAGATGGTAAACGATGGCACAGTTGGGGCTGTACTACCATTAGTTAGTGTTTCATCGGTAATAATCACACTGGAAGTGATGACACACTCGGAGCTATCACTAGCGGACAGTCCACTCGTTTCCTCCGCATTTTGCATTGAAACGGACTGTCCGTCTATGAGCTCACAAATGGTCACACCTTTAATGACCAACACATTCAAAAGGGTCGCACTTTCCGTCTCTAATCTTAAAATGAGAAAATATTTTTAATGTTAAAACATGTGTAAAATTTATATACAAAATACACTAACATTTTCACACATTCCCTGATGTCTGGCGTCTGTCTCGCAGTGTTAAACGCGGCCCTCATAGCAGTCAAAACACTCATTTCGTTCACAGCCAACGCCTTATCGGCCAATACTATCTGCCTGTGCCGGCGCTCCCACTGCTGGTGCGCATCACTAGTGGTTGATTTATCCAGTGCTCGCATCCGGGCCAATATAACCCGGGTGTTTGTGCTGTCGTTCGCCATTAACTCGTTGAACAGCGTGTCTGACTCAGTCTCCGGTAATCTAATCCAAAATCAAACAAAAAATACACTTTCAATGCAAAACTTTTAATGCATTTAATAATCAATTATTACTTTGAAATCC